GGGGTGTGCCATGGGGATGAGGCACCAACTGCTAGGCCAGGGTTACTATCTCTTTGAACTGGAAAGCATGCATTAAGCTCCAAGCCTCTGGTACAGGTTTGCCTGCCTCAAACATGCTGAAGAACACAAAACTACCCATCAATTCAGTTTGTTGGAGTGGGAAGTACACATCATGGCATAACGCTGGATGCCTGGCCTGTATAGTCCACATCCCTGATGTTCCTGCAGAAAGAGAAAACCAGTACTAAAGAGATCGAAAGCCAAAACATAACTCACTCGGTGAAGCTGAAAGAATCCTTTTCCCCTCCCTGACAAGGAGGTTTCTGAAAACAAAACCAAAAATCCCCACAAAGGCACAGTATGAAACCACAACACTGCGATTCTCTATTTTAGACTGATTCACAAACAGAACATCTGTCTGTGAACCAACAAGCTCCCCAAAGTGGGTCATTCTTCGACATGGAAGGGAGGGGAGCAGAAAAGCAGCCCAGAGCCACCTTAAAAACAAGCACATTTCCACCAACTTTTGCTCCAATCAACAGGGAAGCCACACAGCCAGTTTTTAATTGGCAGCTTAGAGGCAGATAAGCCTACCACTGCTCTACTCAAACGCGTATGTATGTACCACTTTCCTCTCAGTTTGCAAAACAGGTTTAAATGAAGCTCTCATGAGGAAGTCAACCCAAGCACTTAGGTAGCCATCAGCTTCCCCCACCCCCTTCTCATTTTTGTATGGAGGATGGAGTTAAAATGGAAGCCTTTTGCCGAAAGACTGGGAAGACAGGAGTACTAGTTTAGATCATGAGGAGGCAGAAAGGGAGACTAGCCAGGAGAACATACCTATCCAACTTCAGTAGGGACAAGGAAAAAATAAGCAAGCAACATTCATTGTAATACCTGCTGTCTCATTTTAACTTTTTAAAGACTGAGCTATCATTAGAGAGATGAAAATAATAATTCCACACTAAAATGTATGTATTATTTCGATTATGTAAGTTATGGCAGCTTATTTCCAGGATTACAATCATTGCAGCTCCCAAACACCACAAAATCAGCCAACTCAAGATGTCACAGGTTAATTCCTTCAGGTCTAGCCTATTACACAAATGAATGTGGAGGTGAGTAGAGGCAGTGACCAATTGCTTTTTCTGCCATGAGCACCTCCAGGCTCTTGAGCTTTGATTCCAGGAGTTATTGAACTGTGAAGAGCTTTGTCAGGTCACTGGGAACTCATCCAAATTAACAGAAAACAGAAAAATGCTGAAGAAGTGCACGGGGTAAGTTTCTGAAAGCCCAGCTCAGACTCACCAAACTCCTGCATACGCAGGGCTCAGTACCTGGGATGGAAGGTTTCAATGACTTTCAGAGAGAAGGACAGCAAATGGATCCCTTTAAATGCATACAAGCATGAGCATGACAACTGCATGAGACCAACTTGCTAATGCCAGTCAAAAACAAACAACAGGGAACACAGCCACTGACTGGGGTCAACTTAGAATCCCAGCAAATTCAATGTACAGCAGCAGCTTGGACAGGACTTCTCAACTCTAGCTCAGTCACAATCTCTGACCTGGACTCAAATCACTATAGAGACCAACCATTACTTGCTGGGATTAGGGTAATACTCAACTGGTAGAAAAATAAGTGCATTTTTAAAAGGAAAGCATAGAATAATATGAACCACCTGAAAAAGGGATACGTATCACATACAGTTTAACAGGATAGGAAAATTAAAAGGTCTCCTCACTTCCATTGGAAAGAAATGAAATAATAAAATAAAAATCTGTGCCGTCTCTTGAAGGGAAAAGAAAAAAAAAAAAAAGGGCCAAGAACCAAAGTGGCCCAAACACACCACAGATCAGAGGTCCATTTTAGTTGGGCATCCCTTTGCCAACATGACCAGCGCTTCAAAAAAGATGTTAGTAAAAAAGCTTCTTAAAGGATAAGAGTTACTGTCATCTCTAAAGCAACACAAAGGCCTCATCAAAAATCCAGCAGGCTCTGTAGGAGGCATAGTAAAATGCTGTAACAATTTCAGCATCGAGCTTCTAAAGGGTTCTTAAAACAAAGGTTATTCTCCCAAGCTCATCCTCCCTCAACCCTTTAAAACTGAAAAGATGCAGACTGTGGCTTCACCCAAAAGAACAAAACCAAGCCATAACCATCAACAGGCACCAGTCTAGCTTCATAAATAGGTGTTAGCAGAGGCCTCCCAATAATAGGAGAGGGCTCTTCAAGACAGCAAGCAAGAAGCACCTCTCACTCCTATAGTTGTTGATACAATAAGATATGAGACCTCTCACTCCCTAGGCTGCTGATACAATAAGTCAGCTCCATAGAACTGACTGCAAGTTTTAAAGTACAGGGTATTTGGACTTGAACCCCCTGAGCAGCTTTGCAGAAGCACATTAAGAAAGCAAGCCACACAAACGTCTTGGACCTGATGATTTAAAAAAAAAATCCTCTTTTGGTTAAAAAAAAAAAAGCAATCATAGAAAAATATGGATTTGGGGTTAAAAATGAAACACCATTCTCTATATACCTAGATATTAGTGGCATTTCATTTAGATCATGCAAAAATGTGGATTTCAGATTACTTCTTTTTAACCAAAAATTGGGGATTTTTTTTTAAATTGGAGAAAACCAGAATCCCTGCAAGACAATGCCATCAAACATTTCACAAGTGGTAAGACCCCATCTCAGAAAGATCTCTCTCCCCTACTCCTACAGATTTTTCTCTGGGTGGAAAGCTATTTTTAGGGGTGTGGATTGTGAGGAATATTCTCCCACAGACACGACATGTTGCAGGAATGCAGGGCCAGCCTCCTCTCAGTTTTTAGCAGCACATTGAGATTTTTAGAGAAAAAGCAGGCCCAGGGATCCTCCACCTTGGGGAAAATGAAAACCTTTAGGCTTGCCCTTTCCTTCTAGCTATACTGGCAGCCTCGGGAGGGCAGAGCTCGTGTGTGGAACAAGATATTTTTTTTAAAAAACAGACAAAAAGCACCAACCCCTCTGGTAGTGGGTTCACTGCCACTAGGCCAACCCTCTGGGCCCACACCCTCAGGGCAACATTTCAAATGACTAAAACCAAAAAAGCAAAAAAAAAATAGCAGGATGATCCGGCTGCTGGCAGGCCACACCCTACCAGACCAGCTGAATGCAGCTTCTCCGCCTCTTAGACTCAAGCCACCCTGAGCAAATCCTGGCTTTGAGATGTCACTTGTTTGGTTTCTAGCTAGAGAAAAAACAGCCTCCCCCCCTCAAAGCAAGAACTGGAGAACAAGTCTCTTGCAGAGGGTTGGGGAAGGGCAGGCCAGGAGCTCAAGCCGCTGGATCAGATCTCGATGGGAAACCTGCAGGTTCAGCTTGACAAGCAGGTGCCGGCGGGGCGCCCCAGGCCCAAGGGCTCCTCCCCCACCCCGGAGAGGCCGGTGCAGCTCCCCACTACCTTCCTCGTCCCCGTGCGCGCGGCCCCGCAGCTCTGGGAGGCGCCACTCCCCCCCCCACCGCGTACCAGCCTTTGCCCAGGCCCAGCCACAGAACACCCGAGCCCCCGCGCGGAGCACCCTGGGACTCGCAGTCCAGCCCCCGCGCGCCGCAGCCGCAGGCGGGTGACCTACTTGGCTGGCGAACTCCACTTCCCGTCGCGCCCCGCGCGCGGCCAGGCCCGGCGGCCCCGCCCAGCCGGCCAGAGAAATTTTCCACTGCACATGCGCACTGGCGGCCTTCCCCGCCCCCTCCCCGGGGCCGCTGGCACTGGCCGGAGGGGCCCGCCCCCCATCTCCGGCGCGGGAGCGCCCCCCTTTGC